CGCTCTTTCCGCATCCTAGTTTTTCTCGCGCGCGTCAGTTCTGTTTCCTCTTTCATCCCCGTTCTCTCTCTCTCTCTCTCTCGTTTTCCCCGCTCTCTTTCTCTTCCTTCCGGCGACGCTCGAGAATCCTTACGTGCTCTTGGCCGGTCCGAGTGGCCAAGTCCGGTGGGGGGTCTGTCGAGTGGGTTATTTGCTCTCTTTCTGGCGAGAGAACCGTTCCTCGTTTCACCGTTTCTTTCACTCCCCTTCGTTTCCTCTTCTTCGCGGCGCCTCCGCCAACGTCCTTCCTCTCTAAGTAGCAGAAAGAACTTCTTTTATAACTTTCGGATTGCGCGCTGTCCCGTCCATCTCTGTTCCTCTTCCGCCCGTGTGCAGTCCTCGTTTCCACCCTCACCGATTCGGTTTATCCTTCTATCATCAACCGCCCTGCCCTCGGTCTTCTTCGTTTGTGTTTTCGCTTTCTCGTTTTCATCCCCCTCTTTTTTCTTCTTCTCTCTCTTTCTCTTTCGTTCTTTCTCTCTCGCTCCACTTGTTCAACTCTTCTGACGCAATCTCACGTTCCACTTCGTCTCGCTTTCTCTCTCTCTCTCTTTCTCTCTTTCTCTCTCTTGTTTCCAGCGTTGCCCAAACGGCGCTTTCGTGCTCTTTTTTTTCTGGCACACAATCTACCGGAGAGACCCCGGCGTAGTTTTAATTAAATAACGCATTCGCAGCTATGTGTTCGAAATAGCGGCGATCCGTCTTCCTGCGGTTCCCATACGCGCCGCTTGCGCCTCCCGACGCACCCTTGTTGCAACGATTCCGGCGCTCTCCATTCTCTGTCAACGCGTTTTCCTAAGCGACTCGCAGAATCGCTACGCGCAAGTGAGATCTGCGTTTTATCGAAAATAAAATTATTTGTGGATCGAACGTGTCGATCGGAAAAATTGACATTTTTTTTAAGAAAGAGAGCGTTGTAGCGAAAAAAAGAGAGGAGAAAATTATCGCGCGTTATTTATTTATGCATTATTTACATGTGTAATGTACTAACATTATACGAAAATATGGAATATATAATTATTATATATACGCGAGTTATGAGCGTGTCTCAATAAATAAAAACACGCACTCCAAAATTCATCTTTCATCTTCCGAATCAGAAATTCGTTCTGGTTCACACTCTCGCGACCCTTTTCGTCGAAATTTTCTTCTGTTTGCGCGGCAGTCTGATTGGACTCACTGTTCCGTACGTAATTACACTTCGTCACGCTTTCTCTCTCTCTCTCTCGTCTTCCGTTCTTAGTTCTATTCGTTCTCCACTGACGCGTGTTCATACTTGTCTTCGTCAAATGCTTCTCCCTTCATTCCTGCGCGAGAGAGGATTATTGTTAATAATTTCCTCTTGTACTTATCACCCCCGTTCTTTCACCCTCCCTTCGTGCGACAAAGGAGCATAATGCGTAATATAACTGCACGAGTATTTTTTTTTTTTTAAATCTCTGAACTTGTCGGAAATGTAAAAAAAACGATCGGTGTTAAAATTCGTAAATATACTTCTTTAATGTTTACTCAAATTTGTCTGTAAAACACACGAGATTCTAAAATCTGCTAATCTTTCTCAGTCTGATGAAGTCATTCACGCGCGTCCTCGCCTTTCACACAAGCTCCATTCGCGTAAATCACGGAATTTACTCGGCGGAGCTATTTGCAGCCGTATGGCCACTAAAGCTCAAAGTGTCCCACAAAATTATACGTTCGCCGGACGACCTCAAATCAAGACACTGACCCTTACCTCGAGTGTGTCGACACCCGCGTCGCCCGGAGATGTTCGTGCCCTTAAGAACAGCTCGGACCGCGCGTGGGATCGAGGCGAGTTTATGGCGATCGTAAACGTGAGATTTACGCAAGCTGTAAACGCGACCGTGAAGATCCTGCGGCCGAAGATTCTCACAGAATCGGGCTTACACTATGCGCCCCGCGACTACGACGATGTTTCCACAATGGCGGGGACGCTTTCCGCGGCCGAATAGCGTGATGGAACGAGTTACCTACGGTTTCCGGAATTCTTCTATCGACGCAAAGAGAGTCTTTTGAAAAGTCTTTCACGTATCATAAAGATCCCGATGAGAATTGCCGCAATATAAGTTTCCCGGGGATGATGATCGCTTCGCGCAACGTGATTGTACTTGACAATCTTTTGCGCACGGGAAACGAGTTTGCGATTTTACGAGTTCAACGTCTTGGCTGGAACGAAAATGCGAAACGTTTTACGGAGGTTTCACACACAAACAAATAGGAAAAGCTTTCTACTGAAAAAATTAACACGTGCAAATGCACGTACATTCGATGTGATATAGTTTTTATTTTTATTTTTATTTTTTTCTACAATATACTTGTGTAATTTAAACCAATGAGTGAATATAAGGCCTTACGAGCCGTTCTCAAAATGTTGAGCGAGAACTTATACATGTATATATATATGTATACACATGTAACGAATTTACTTGTAAATTTTTACAAGTGAGTTTTTCGAATTGAATTCTCAATTCTT